TGCCTTGTTATGCACTTAAAGTAACATATGAAGTCAAATCTTTGCCACTTAACACAACCAAAGGCATCTAGGCTCACTTCATATTTACTTAAACAAATTTTTGGAAACAGACTTTTCACTTTGATGTCAAACTGTTTTTCAGAAAGGGAAAAGCCTTGATTTTAGGTACATGGAATTATAGACATACCTATCCTGTCAGCCTGAGATATGTTTTAAAGTAATTCATAGTCTTTGACACTTTCTTATTAGCATCTGAGAAGCTGAAAAAAAGTTGGACAATGATGAAAGAAGAAATAATGAAGTACACAAAACTGGTAAGATATTTTTTCTGTGTGCTGTAATACTTATGTTTAAACAATGTCAGATGCAAGAAAAACATAATATAACATTTATAATATAAAAAAATGAATTAGTATTTTGTCATGAGTAAAAGATTCTTTTAAATCTGTTCATAGGCGAATTTGGACATTGATAGTCAAAAGACTTTTTTAGTGTATCCACAAGGAAATGTCTCAATTTCTAATGAAATAAGCCCCAAGGATACTGGTTATGACAAAAAGATAATGTCTCAAATTTTGATGAATTAAGTACCTTTCTCTGTGAGGTCAGAATAAGATGGTACATGACCCTGGGCCTCTCAGATTTTGATGAAAATTGGTGTATTTGCTCATTATAGACCCAAACTAACATAATGGATATTAATTTGTTTGTATCAACCTTGGTTGCCTTGGTAACAGCACTTAAATTAAAATTTTGAATGATACTGGTTGTTAGATATGGCTAATGTGCTGTTGTCATGTGTTCCAGCAACAACAGGTCAATGACCTGGAGGTTCACACTCAAGGACTGCAGACCAAGATAGTAGAGTTACAGAGAAGTCCCTATGCTAGAACAAAACAGACAGATACACTGGGTGAAATGTAGGTTTTTAAATGCAAGCTTTTATTAATCTTGTGACTTATCAAAATGTTCATTATGATGTGGATATACAGGTGGTCCTTTGATGAAAGTGAAGCCCAAGAGTTTAGTCAGTTTAATAACTATAAGAATGGTAGATAAACCTTTTAAGAGATGAAAACACATAAGAAACTGGTCTTTGTTTCAAACAAGTCGTGGTGAATGTTTTTGCTTTTAGTGAGGCTGCTGCTATGAAGCTGTACCAAGAATTGAGGCAAATGGCAAGAGGTATAGCTACAATAGTCTGACACTTCACTTTGTTACATTTGGCTTAGGTTTAGATGATTTAAATTAAAATAACATAATAATATTGAATTATTCCTGTAATGCACTTGTTTTGATGCAAGCAAAGTGCACCTAGCTCTCAGTATTGCCTTTTTCAGTCAGAATAAAGTAGTACATTTAGTAGAATTTCAATGGAAAACCATCTTGATTTGGTACAGAAGTTATTTACCCAGGCTATGCTGTTGGATGCCGCGATATTTCAGAAAAGAGGCAGCAGATTTCAGACAACACTGGCATGGTTCAGGCAGTAGTGAGGTGCTACACACAGAGGGACAAACTTACTGGGGATCTCTACCAACATATTAGGTGGGTTCTGCGTCACATTCCTTTAGGTTAGGACTAGAATAGTTTTCCAGGTTTCATTACTTTAGATGAGAAAGACAATGATAGGATTACATGTGCTAGGGTCAGTTTTAAGGCAGTTTTTGGAGGGGGGGGGGGGATGGCCAGGCTACATTTGTAGTTGATTTCGCAGGTTTTCAGTGTCACTGTTTCTGTTATTTCTTTATTGGCATAGAACCCATTCTCACGAAGACTTAATTCAAACATTTAATGAACCTCAATTACTATGAAATGCATTCTATTATACTTTCTGTTTCCAGCAAACTAGCTTCCTGCAAACTTGACATGTCAGACCTTCTTCCTCGAGTTCAAGAAACTATTGATGACATTAAAGCTGGTAGCAGTGTACTGATGGCATACCAGAAACAGAGGCAAACAGAGATGTGGACTATGTTGAAGAAACTGGTAAGTAAGCAGTTGTGACTCTTTAATGTGTACATGTGCTTGTTTGTGAATGCATGCATGTGTGTGTAGTCAGTCAATGCACTGTCTTTTGGTTAATATCTTATTTATTGCCCAATTAGAAAAATGAAGTGTACAACTTTTTATTAGATGAATATGCTGAATGCCGTTCAAAAGTCCACACTTAACTAAAAAGAAGCAATGTTACTGATCAACTTCTTGCAGTTCTTTTTAAAATCATATTTCATAAAATTGGGGGCAACTGTAATAAGGATAGTGACATTGCCAGAGGTACCATTGTTCCTAATGCATCTGTTCATAGCTGGTTCATTTCTGGAAACATTACCAGTACATTTTTATATACATATCCTAAACTGTTTCAGGTCCAGAGGAGCCAGGCTCCAGGCTCTCAGCCTCATTCTCTGACCAGCAGCTTGATGAGGTCCACATCCAGGCAGAGTGGGAGCAGTGGGGGCAACAGTTTCAGTCAGATGTTCGAGAAAAATATGGAGGCTTCCTCGATGCTCAGGACAGAGAACGAGGACAGCAAAGCTAAGTAGGTCATCTGCATGTAATCTGGTAGTGAAATTGAAGGTTGGCAGCCTATAGGTATTTTTTTGTGTAGTGATTATCAGGCTGTCAGCCCAGTGCATGTGTGGAAAAAAGTAAGATTTTAAAATTTCCAAATATTAATTTCAGTGCATGTTAGGATAAAGTTCATCTTGCCTTCTAGATCCAGTGACATCCTGTTCAATGGAATATATCAAATGTAATAGCATTTATTTGATCATTACAGACTGGAGAGCACACTTTCAAGCCTTGTACTTGAGCAGGAGGAATTCTTGTCAGCTGATAATCAGTTGCAGTGGGATTTCTTGGCTGAGGAGGAGGCACCCTCTATACAGCAAGGGGCAGACTTGTCTTAGCAAAGAATTTGAATGTGCCATTGACATTATTTGTATGCATGGAAGGTCCTCCAGACAAGAACTGTTTATTGGAAGATCTCAATTTCCTAAAATTTATGCTCGGAAAAAAATACATTTGGATAGAAGTGGGCAGAGAGTCAATTAAATATGTGCATCTATGAACATTTTTCCCACTTTGAATATAGGGATGAGGATGGGGGTAAAGCTCATGCCATTTGACAAGAAGAATAAAAACATTACCTTTTTCTGGATTATTTAGTGTAGAATAATTCATATATAAAATGTGCATGTAAAACCTTCTCACACCTGCTGAATTACCAAGAAATTCAAGCATTGGCACTCCTTTTGACAATTTTATATCTACGTTAGCATAGTATAGATATCAGAGTCATTAATAGGAGTGCTAGCTCATGAATATCATGCTACTGCTGAATCAGCTGTTGCATAACAATCTTCTTACATATGCTTACATATTTGAGAACTTTTTATTCTCTAGTAGAGTGCATACCATAAAAAAGTTCCTGTATTGTAGGGTCAATATTGGTGCTAGAGCCTAAAGTGGAGTCAAAAATGAGACCTTACTCTAGTGTCTTATGATGGATGCCTTTAGTACTTTAAGTGCGTTTTTAGAATATGCAGGTTTTGTATGTATATATGTATAATATAGTGACAGTGTACAATTCTGTATGTGCTAAGATTATCTACCCAGCCTGATAGACTGTTGTATGTGTAACCATGCAGATGATGTTTAATTTATGTTCATGGTTGGTCAAAATGGGAATTTGAGAATAATCACTATAAATTAATATTTGGAAGGTCTGCAATTATTCTCTATAGCTCGCGATTTATAAATGAATGAAATTGTGATTCGCTATCTTGCTGCAGACTACTAAACATGTAGTCAAACACCATGACATTTTCTCTACATTGTAATACACTATGTTTACTGTTCCTCACAGAGTGGGTAGGTGGTACTAGTATCATATGTAAAATCTACCCACATACATGATGTTATTATAAAACTGTTTATATAAAAAGCTTATCCATGTAGCTTTAGATACATAAGGTAAAACATAAAGAGTTTTCTACAACATCAATTATATCAAAATTGGTGTTTTGCTTCATCCAGTTGTTTTAAACAATGATGGGATTCATCTGAAGAAGGCCTTGTGATAAGCTTAAAACAGTGACCTCATTTCAAGTGTAAGCTCCAGTATGGAATTTGATTATAATTCCATCTTTATCTTAGTCCATATAGTATTATTTTATAGGCATACAATTGGTAAAGGTCAGTCCTCCTGGGAGGACAGTGCTCTGGACAAATCTGCTTAGAACCAAACTGGACACCTTTCAAAGCTAACTGACATAGAAGGCTGAAAAAAAAAGACCATTCCCAAGCACAGTATTGTCAGCACTGTTGAACTTTCAGCCATATTCGGGGGACGCAATATCTGGACACATGATCCAATGAAAAGCACAAAATTCATAGCCTTTCCAGACTGATGGTACCGAAGACGTGCATAAAAATAACAAGTTACTAAATTGTCTTTCATCTATTATTGACTGCTCTGTAATGTGTCCTTTTAAATGCCTGTGATAAATTGGTGATTTCCTGTCAACAGTATGCAATGACATCTCATTTTTTTAGGTTCCATTAGAGGTATTAGTATAGAATAATTCATTTTATCAAAATCGGCATTCTTTTAAATTTGAATATGTATCAACTTATTCATGACTTGTCTTTGTCTCAGGCATTCTGCAAGTTGAACTTGATGTATATAAATGGCATATATGTTGAAATCATGCAACAACATGCCATGAAATGATTGTATATTTAATAGCATTAAGTAACAAATGTCTGTAGGTAGTCAATGTTAATTTATTTGATAAAGTTGAGGTTTTTAACTTTACAAATATAAATAGCCATAAGTATATAAATGAACCTTTTTGTACTAAATTTGGTTAAGGTCAAACCTGATTCAGTCCAACAACCTTTGGGCAACATTTGAACTCCAGGACTTAAGAACCCTTAAAAACAAAAAGTTGAATGGACTGGATTTAGACAAGACTATGATCTTCCCGTCTACATATATTCATGCCAAATATGAAAAAAGTGCAGATTAAGAGCATCTAGTTTAGAAATTGTTTTTTTTTTTTTTTGCCATTGGGGAAATTTTTCTACCTCCAACACAGACTTTTTATCTCGTTGAGATTGGCAACATGATCTTAATTTGCACTTAGTTCATAAAGGATGAAACCTGAATCCAAATATCATTAAAATATTTCACTTTATATGATACAACATATGTAGGAATTAACTATTCTTTCAGTTAATTTGCTGTTTTTTTTTTTTTGCGTATGTCAGTCAAAGTATACTTTAAAGGAAAATGAATGGTGGATTGATGAAATACTTTCCATTTATAGAACCTAAATAAATCAATTCCATCCATAGGTGAGGCTTCTGTTTTATTTTCAGCAAACAGGAAACTGGTGACTAGTTATTGTATTCAACATTCAATACCACTGTTCCTAAATGTAAAATAATCTGCTGAGATTCTAAGGAAGTATTTAAAGCAAACTTTACATTTAGACATTTTTTTTAATTATGGAAGGTTTTGCCTGAGACAATGTTATGAATGGCTTATATGATAATAAATAACATGAAAATACCTGCATTAATATCTGTGAAATTATTTTACAATATCACTTTCTATACGCTACATTTGTATATATGGTCCACTGCAAATCATCACTTCTCTTTGAATGATAATTCAATCACAGACATTTGAAAGAGATAGTATGAAAGTATTAATAATATTTCAAACGGATTGTATGTCCTACACTTATCTACCTAATACACACAGAATCTGAGTTACTATTTATGTAGTGTTTTTCTCAAAGCATTTGTATTCTGTTTGATGCTACAATGAACAAATGTGAAGATAAGGCAACTTGCATGCAAAATTTAAGTATGTGCATCCTATGAAAAATCTACATATAAGACAAAATTTCGGGGGAGATTAAAGTTCATCTTTCTTTTCGGGGGTTTTCCTTTTACACACTCCATTATAGTCACAGTTTGTTGCATATTGCTTGTAATTCTTTTTAAACTCTTCATATGAGCACATTCTGTGGCCACAGAAGGGCAACTGGACTAATTTCTCATTCACATAAACCTGGACCATTAAGTTCTGTATATCTTCAGGCCATCCATCATGCCTGTTCTCCTCTGAGGTCATACCCTCTTTATCACAGTGGTACAAGACAAATGCAATATTTCCAGCAAAAGGACTAATGACACTGCTCCTGAACTTCCTATTTCTGTGCACCCGAAAGTTATCTGCTCTCAGAGGCACCTCATCTTTGAATAACCCCAGAAGACAAAACAGAGGAAATATTGTTTCTGCATGNTTTTTTTTTCGCCCTCTCGCACCGATTTTGGGGTACTCAGAGGATGTCATCCATAAAAATAAAAAAGTGTGGCCTAAACGAAAAAAAAAAATGGGAATATGAGAAAAATATACCAATTACAAAAGCATTGGTGAACTTTAAAGTTAGACTTGATAAATTAAACTGCTTTACATAGATTCTATCACAGAAACCACAATAATTAGCCTTCAAAAATTATGGACCGAGGCCCATGTCAGTTTCCCCAGTAAATTGATATAGACTCCTCCCCCTCAATCCTAGCGTCATCCCTTTCATGTTCAAGGCATTTGACTCACAAAATACAGAAGTAAATAGGACCTACGGGTCATTTTAAAATATTGACACTGAAGTATAAAATCAGCGTTTTAAACGATTCGTGTTTTAAAGACCATTAAGCCCTCGCTGTTTGTTTTAGTCGGGTTTTCTCAATGCACCGAAAGGTCACATGACTGATCACATGACTTGATAGAATGGCTGCAAAGGCTGGGGGACAAGTTGCAGGTGGCCTGCTGCAAGTGAGCGCACGATCCATTTACTGCAATATCTCTACCTTAAGGCATATAAGCTCATGTCAACAAAGAAAATCACCAGCCCCTTCGGCATCTGCATCTCCTCTTAACAGATACGCAGAGAAGGTAAGGATCGTGTATGACCCCACAAGTCACGTCTCTGCGAACTTTACTGTTCAGTGTTTGTACCTGTAATTACAGTATGACGTTGCGGTCGAGTTCGCACAGACGTTTGCATATCACACAGATTGAAGTAGTGCCCGTAGGTTCTGCTTCGTTTACCTTAACACAACTGAGTGTCTGAGATTGCTTCACTATTTACTTCTAATACATTTAACGAGCTCTGGGTGCACATTCTGCAGGGATGTGTTTATCTGTGACTGGGGATTAGGAAGATGACTAGGCTATTTTCTTAATCCAACATGTTTACATTGTTTTTAGAGTGCATGTTATTATATATATATATATATATATATATATATATATATATATATATAAAAGTTTATTCCAAGAGCTCTCCATTACACATATTATTATGTTCTGCATTGTATAGATATTGACATAACTGATTGTGTTTTAATTTCAGGCTGATTTCCACATATTCTAACCTTGCATTAATTGGGTAATTTTGAGTGAAATTGGTCTAATTAAAGAGAAAAGCTAAACCAACTGCAAAAATGTGTGCTCCAACAATTTATTTAATTTATTGTAAAAGATACTGAATATGAAACAACATTCGGTAATTGTTTACAATTCAGATATTTTCTGTTTACTCTTTATATCATTCAGAGGCAGCCTAGCCACTTCCAGGGAAAGGATGTTCTACCATTTTCCGAGTTTCTCACTGACTCTTTTGGCCGACAGCACACATATTTGAGGATTTCACTGACTGAGAGATGCAATCTGAGATGTAATTATGCTATATAAATCAATGTGCTAAAATGTTATATTAATGTTCTGCAACATATCATTTAAAAGGGATTGTTGTAATACACTGCATCTCTTGAAAATAAAAATAAATATCCCAAATAGCTAGCATATAAACATGGAAATAGGAGTTACAGAGAAGAATTTTTCATTTAAATGAGGTGAAAAGATGACTGCCAGGTGAATTACAGTATCATCATATTTTTTTCTGATTTCTATATAATTTCCTATATTTCTAGGTCAATACTGTATGCCAGAGGAAGGAGTGGATTTAACCCCCAAGAATAAACTTCTGTCCACAGAAGAGATAATAACCCTTAGTAGGCTATTTGTAAAGGAGGGGATTGAGAAAATCAGACTAACAGGAGGAGAGCCACTCATCCGAAAAGATTTGTTAGAAATTATAGGTACAGTTAGAAATATGATATATATATATATATCTATTTATATAGATACTAATGTGATCTGCAGGTAATATTAATGCTTCAGTGAATATAATTGAAAATGAAGACAAAAGCAACACTGTTAATTTTGTTCTTTTAGTTTCTCATATAACAGTATGTGTGAAGAACAAAAGAGCCAGACATGGGGGAACTCACAATCAGACACATTGTGCAGACAATGTAGTACATAGATGTGGGCCAGACCATGTCTGGGGCTTTTGTTATCCTCGTCTCTCATATTAAACTCAGACACACTAATACTGCCTTGCACTGGTGTATATCACGTTCAGTCTTGATGATTTGTGATGGATCTATAGAATTACTTACCATGCTCAGACTTATTATAGTCAGATCTTTGCTTCATGTATTGTTGTCTGGTGCATATGGATATATATCATTTTCTGATCACGCCTCTATGTCCTTTTTTAGGTGCATTAGATACTTTGAGAAGTGCTGGTCTTGTTAATTTGTGATGGATCTTTAGTATTACTCACCATGCTCAGACTTGCCATAGTTAGATCCTTTCTTCATGTATTGTTGTCTGGTGCATATGGATATCATTTTCTGATCACTCCTCTTTGTCCATTTTTAGGTGCACTAGATACTTTAAGAGATGCTGGTTTACAGAAAATATCAATAACAACAAATGCATTGACATTATCCAAGAAATTACAACAGCTAAAGACTGCTGGACTCGATCAAATTAATATCAGTCTAGACACACTTCTTCCTGCCAAGTTTGAATTTATCACTAGAAGAAAAGGATGGAATAAGGTGATTGAAGGGATTGATGCAGCTCTTGAGGAAGAAATGCATCCCGTAAAGGCAAGTTTCCAGTCTTTTATTTATTTATTTATTTTCTCACTCTTGTTTAATAAATTATTTTCTCACTCATTTATTTATGATTAAAATATAAGAAAACTCTGGATGTAATGTTTTTAATGACTTTTATGTCTGAACAGGTAAACTGTGTAGTGATGAGAGGGATCAATGAAGAGGAAATCTGTGATTTTGTACAATGGACCCAAGACAAGGTACCTGTGATCATAATTTGTGATGCAAAATAAGAGCATTAAATACTCTTAGAGTAGCCAACTTACAAATAAAGGTATTTTAAAGGATATTTTTGACAAATGTGTAAATTGAGAGTTCTTTTTAGTCAGAGTTGCTAAAGTTATCATCAGTCACTTAGATATAGATTTGTAGCTTATCATGTTTTATGTTTGTATAACATTTGAGAGACTAGACAAAGAGACAAAATGATAGTTAAAGATCCATGAAATATGTGTAAATTTTACAACTAAGACTTATTAAAAGAAGAAAAATGCAAACATTACCTATACCTTTAAGACTTATTAAAAGAAGAAAAATGCAAACATTACCTATACCTTTAAGACTTATTAAAGTCATGGCTAGTTCCAACCAGAAAGGTTCTTTCAATTGAGTGTAAAAGTTTATTGATGATAGTATTGATGGGTATACATATAATATGTATGTTATATATCTATAGGCAATTGATGTACGGTTCATTGAATATATGCCATTTGATGGGAATAAGTGGAATTCTAAGAAGATGGTTCCATATCAAGAAATGTTAGGTATCATCAGAGCTAGGTGGCCAGACCTGGAGAGGTTGAGTGATGAAGTCTCTGATACTTCCAAGGTAAATTGACTTTATAGTAATTTATATGTGATATTGTTTATGTTTGGTGTGTTCTTTTTGTTAAAGGTGTGTGTGACTACTGCATGCTTCCTGTCTTCAGTATTTATTTTGAAAATAACTGTTTATGAAAAAGCATAATATTCATTCACAGTTCATATAAAAGTGGTTTTGTTATATTAAATTTTTATGAAATGAGTGTATGTCTTTGAAAATTGCATATGGAATTTACTAACTTTTTTTGCACGGCAGTTTGTCCTGGTTGGCCTGGTTTGAAATTTCCAGTGGCATTTTATTTTGATAAAAAACTGTATTTCAGGCTTATCGGGTCCCAGGTTTTGCTGGTCAGATCGGCTTCATTACCTCAATGAGTGATAATTTTTGTGGAGGATGCAATAGGGTCAGAATTACTGCTGATGGCAATTTAAAGGTAAGTTTAATGCAGGAAATATCCAAAAGTATCTGATTACTCCATTGTTGTTAACAATGTCAGGATAAGAAGGAATACATTACATTATAGATAATCATGAAAATTCAATTGCACAATCAACAGTGGTAATCAAACATGGGCCAACTTGTATTATGGTAAAGACGTATCAATATTAACTCAGCAAAAAGTTTTTTAACATCTGAGGTATTAAGTGAGTGATACTATGATGATTTTCTCCCTTGCTGCCTTGCCCACCCCAGGTGTGTTTATTTGGAAATGCTGAGGTGTCTCTGAGGGATGCTCTGAGATCAGGCACATCTGAGGCAGAGCTCTTGGAAATAATTGGAGCTGCAGTGAAGAGAAAGAAGAAGCAACATGCAGGTAAAAAAAGAAAAGCATGTCACTGCATGTGTTATTTTTTTTCTTCTTCATTTTTGCCCCTTTTACATGCTGGAGAACTGAAGTAAAATTTTGAGGTCAGGCATTGGATTGAAAATTGTGTTGAAAGAAAAGTAGAAATATGTGAAAGTGAAGAAAAAAACTCTGGTTGAATTTTTTTCAACATTTTCTATTATGTTCTGCTGTTTCATATTTTCAGGCATGTTGTCCCTAGCAAAAATGAAGAACAGACCAATGATTTTGATTGGTGGGTGAATACTCATTTTATTTTTCACGTATGTATATATTCATCACAATACGAAAACAACCTGTGGCATACATGCACATGTATATATAGAAATGTTTAGTAAGGCATTAATATTTGAATCATCATTTCCCTCTTATTCCCTGGTAAAATATTTGTTTTATTTTGAAATTGGAAATGAATAAAATCATTGCTGTTCTCAGTAAAGGTTTTATTTTATACAGAAATACATTGACAAAAGGCCATTCCATAGTTTTATGTTGTTACAAAATGTAGAAAAAATGAATCTTTGCAGCTATTAAGTAGTGTATATATGCACATACTTTCAATGATAACAGTAGTGATATTTGCCGACCATAAATATATTAAGGTCAATAAAAATTCTATCATCACATCATGATTAAGATGAAAAGTGATTATCGTAACAGAGAGGAACAGGAAAAACAATTCTGAAAACATGATATTTAAGTAGAAAAATCTTTGAAGTATGCCAATCTGTTATTATCTCAACACTACTCTAGTTTTCTAAATTCACAAGAGACTTGAACTCATTGTTCGTTATTATTGATCGTGAATTAGATGAATCTTTATAAGCCTCTATGAAGAGTTATGGTGGGATAGTCACAGAGGGAACAATATACATTTAATCTAACCTCATTGGAAAATGACTTGGGATTCTGAATTTCATGTTGTGAATTGACTTAATAGTTTGTGGCTATTAAATGTTTATTAAATTTTAATTTTTGAATTGAAATAAGTTTAATTATGTAGGAGTAAGAAAAAATGCAAATAATGATGATGGGTTAAGTTCAATATTTCCCTGTAGTTGGCTTGTTATTTATTTGCTCATCCAAAATATATTGTGGACTAGTCAAATATTGATAATTCATTGAATTTATATATTTTTTACAGATAACAAACACCAAACTGTGATGCCAAAATATACTGCAAAATACGCACAGTGTCATATCAAGAGTGCTACCGAAGGCATGAAGAGTCCCATTTATAACATTAAACTCTGTCCATTACCTGGACAGGGATTTGTATTTTATTCAGAGAATTCTTATATGCAAACTCAGTATGATGGTGTTTCTTGTCGACATTACTCAAAGAAAACGAGTAACGTCAGTGGGGACAAGGAGCACCATCAGGATACCAAAGAGAAAGATCAACAGAAGCAATATACAAATTTAGAAAGTGACGGTGTGACTGACATTGACACCATGAAGTACTGGGGGAGTGATTACTATACTTTTGTTAACACAAATAATCAAAAGAAATTGAAAGGTGCTGACAGTGGAATGAACCCTCCACATGCATTTGTCCAAAATAATAATCCATCCAAGTATTCAGATGTTGATACCACATACAGTGAACATTACAACAGGATTTCCCAGCTGCCATCAGAAATTGATGTCCCTGAATTGACCCACATTGATCAGGAGGGCAAGGCACAGATGGTTTCTGTTGGTCACAAGAAGGACACACTGAGAACAGCCACAGCATCAGGTGTAATCACAGTGGGAAAAGAAGTGTTCCACCTCATAGAATCCAACCAGGTGAAAAAGGGCGATGTGTTGACTGTGGCAAAACTAGCTGGGATCATGGGTGCAAAACAGTGTTCAAACTTAATCCCACTGTGCCACAACATTCCTTTAAATTCCATTGAGGTAGAGCTCAGTTTGGATGCAGTCTCTCACAGTATTCTCATTGAGGCAACTGTTTCCTCTTCTGGAAAAACTGGTGTTGAGATGGAGGCTCTCACTGGAGTCACCATTGCTGCCTTGACTGTGTATGATATGTGTAAGGCTGTCACGCACAAGATGGTCATCCATGACATCAAATTATTGTCTAAATCTGGTGGTCAGAGAGGAGACTATAAATATAAGTAATACTGTTGTGATGAACTGTGAAACAGTATATTTTTAAAAAAAACAATATCATGTGTTGACAACAATCAGGTAGACAGGGAAAAGTAAATAGTTCAAATATTAGTAAAATTGTTATACTGAAAAAAGATTAAAGAATTTTAATTGTAGATAAAGTCGGTGAGACAGGGGAATGAGAGTAAACTTTTAGCATTTAAAGAGTGTTTCAAATATTTGACATGTTTTTAAAAAGCTATTTTTATAAATTAAATGTTAAATTAAGTTTTTAAAGGATCTATTTTGGTTCCATTATGGTGTTGTTCAGCAGGGGTATGTCAGAAAAACATGTTTAAAGTGGGTAATGTTTGCATGTCTTCCTAGTGACTTTTCATTTTATTGGTATAAATCAAAAAATAATATCATGTTACTCATTACTAAAAATTGTTTTGTATTTAAAAATTCTGAAGTTAAAACCTCTGGTAAAAAAATTGTTTTTGATAGATATAATTGATTTTGATATTAGTTGACAGTGAAATGTCAATTGAATTTTTAAAATTTTGTTGATAGTTATTTTACAATATTCAGAAAAAGAGATTTTCAAAATTGCATTTATATTTTATTAAAAAAAGAGATTCTGTGTGTTATGGGTTGTGGGTTAATATGGAATTGCTTATGATGGAATCACTGAAATTGATTGACTTAACCATTATTACTCCCTCTTATATTTAAACTGTAAGTGAGTGAGTGGAGATTGTGCTATGGACAAACAATAAGAAAGTGACAACAACATTGTTACTTAACTGGGCATTTAGATACCATGGTCAAAGAAATGGCTCATTTGATTGATGAACTTCATATCAAATTCTCTGCCAGTAACTGTAATTACATGTATTACTAGGATCTCAGATGCATGTTAAAATTATTGTAGTAAAGGGATTTATTACTCCTTCAAAATTGCTTTGTGAGTGGAAGTTGAAACTGTGGGAAAGATGGGTTCCTTTGCAAAAGAGGTCTTAAGAGTATTTTAATATAATGTTTTGGGATTTTTGTATGAAGTGACGGCTGGTAGAAGGTGAAAATGGTTTGGCACACATCTGGGACAAATTCAAATTCCACGAAATTCTACCATGATAGATTTGTAAAAGATTTAAGTGATATCAGACACACTATTTTAGCTGTCTTGCTTTTTATTTTGATTAATTTTATTTTTAGAAACGGGCTTTTTAATGATTAATTATTTATAGGTTGTGAACACTGTCCGTATGTTAGCTGTTAACAAAGTAAATTAATAGGAAAATTGGGTTTCCATTATCAGTTTCAATAATAAACAGTGAACAAAGCACTTATTGTTTCCTTTTGTTTAGTTATTCAAATTTCATAATTCAACATTTCGAGCTTGGTTACACTGTAGCATGGATTCTATAAACTGCGCATATGGATTTGCACGGATGACATTTGTAGCCCAGAGAATTACGTAAACAGAGCTAATTATATGCAATTTATTTATGCGTAATTTTCCCCGTGACATTTCTTCTACAATAGTTAGAACCCTTCATGGGCCCCAGGGTTTCTTCAGTGGCAATGTTGAATAGAAGAGCATGTGAATCATTCATAAATGCTATACAGTGAATAATAACTGACGATATTCCCCACTCCATATGATAAGGCAAAATGTCACTGATGCTTAATGTTGCCGTCGTTTGCAAATTTCTTATTGGATTGATATTGCGGTACATTTATCTCCTGTCTGTTGTGGTTTGAACTCGTAGTACATATGTCGTAGTTTGAATCGGCACAGCGCTTTTTAAGTTACGAGAATGTGGAGTGTCCTCTGCGCAGTTATGTTTTTGTCTTCTATCCAAATGCAGCTTAGCGTTGGTAGGTGAATATTTGTGCTTTTGAAGAATTTCTGGAATTGGAATTAGCACGATAAAATCCATTCGCAATATACATTTTGATGAAAATTAGAAATAAGTAGTGTTAACATTGGGACCATTTCCAGACCCTATCTAACTGTGGATCGAACTATTTCCGAGGGGATTCTCGCTAAATTGCAATCAACTTAGATGTTTAGAGGCTTAGATGTTTGTCACGCCTACTGAAGCTGCTACGGGGTACTTAATTATCGTTTAGCAGCTTTAGTAGGCGTGCCAGACATCTAAGCCGCTTAAGCTGAAAGCGAGAAAACCCGATCCTGTTAGATCGATCTAGGTATGGGAACCCAGTCTAACACGTTATCTACTTTACAATTAAAGAGATCGACTCATGATTCGGAGTCTCAACTAAGCCTATAATGTGAAGAGAGAATGTCTCTCTACGAGGAAAAGCCATGCAGTTCTTACGAATGCAATTTAAGAAGTTTCACCTTTTAAATTTTTTTACTATCTAATTGAAACACCATTAAGGATCCACAGCAGACTACGGTTTCTACCAACATGAAGGCATTTGTGTGTTTTCTAATCCAAGAAGTGAGGCTTATTCTGAAGCAGAAGGTATTTGCCATGCCTTGGATATGGAAATGTTCAGAATGGACTCGGCTGAGATGTACGACTTGTTCTTCGAAACGGTGAATAGCACCGAGCTTACGTAAGTCTTTGGTTAGAGTTAAAATACCATATTTTATCGAAACGACAAAAAATGGAGGCAGATTAAAATTTAGCTTCAAAGTTAAATATTTTCACACA